ATATATATATATATATATATATATATATATATATATATATATATATACATGCATAGGAGATTCTGTCATGAAAGAAAGAAAAGAGGCTTGGGGAGGGAGGGACGACGGGAAGAAACGGCAGCCTTTAAAAGGTAAGGCTTTTTAAAATTATTATTATTAAATATTATTTATTTATTTAATATGTGTGAGTACACTATCACTATCTTCAGAGACACCAGAAGAGGGCATCAGATCCTTTTACAGATGGTTGTGAGCCACCATGTGGTTACTGGAAATTGAACTCTGGACCTTTGGAAGAGCAGTCAGTGCTCTTAACCGCTGAGCTATCTCTCCAACCCTTTTTTTGGGGGATTGCTGATGGCCAAGCAAAAGTCACCGATCTCTGCCCCCTCCCCCTTGCAGAAGCTCAGGACCCTATTGGCTCACCAGAATCCAGAGCTGAAGGCCTGGTGAAAGAGGCCTGCAGTGCCTTGTAAAGACGTCGTCATCCACAAGGGTGCACTGCACAGTTGGACACCCCCTGCAGAGATTAGAGTAGTTGAACTGTCTTCAGCACGTGGACCTTCCTCCCTCTCAGTTCTGATTCTGTCCGTGTCTCAGATGGCTGAGCCTGACCGGTCAGGAAAAGCCTGTTGGCCAGTGTGCCCCCCGGCCAGGGAACAACCTTTGATTCCAGTGTCCAACTCAAACATCCCTGCCCCTCTCTTCCCAGCCATCTGACCCATTTGTCTGCTAGCACAGAAAAATCTGGTCCCTCCCTCCAAAAGCCTGGCTGACTCTCTCTGGTCTGATGTATGTATGTATGTATGTATGTATGTGCATCAGCGTATGCCAAGTGTCAGTGGCGGTCAGAAGAAGGCATCAGCTCCTAGGATAGCCACCATGCAGGTGCTAGGAACGGAAGCTGGGTTTCTCGGCGGGAGCAACAAGTGCCTCTAACCACTGATCCATCTTTCCAGACCGGTCTCTGTTTTGTTTTAAGGTGTGAGGCTGGCCAACTTCCGCTACATGCCTCAGTTTCCCCCGAGGTCACATTTCAATAGTCCGCTCCTTGCAGGAACTACTATGATTTGACCACCTGCCACAGGCTAGAAGAAGTCAAGCCACCATTGGAGACCTGGCAGAGGGTGAGACTTCCTGAAGTGGGGTTGGAGAGCAGAATTGAGCTCTCCCCGGCTCTCTCTAGGGCTAAGGGATCCAGCCCCTCCGGGCACTCCTCCCTAACCCAGACTGCTGTTGCAGGCCGGTTGAGTTTAGAACAAAAGGCAGGGGAAGGCGGGGCGGTGGGGGGTGCGGTCCCGGCGCCGGTGGGGGCGGGGCGAATGCTATAAGGGGCGGTGGCCCGGCCTGGCCCAGCAGGCCCAGCAGCCCCGGGGCGGATGGCACGGGCCGCCTGTCTCCTCCGCGCGATTTCGCGCGTCCTCCTGCTCCCGCTGCCTCTGCTGCTCCTGTTGCTGCTGCTCCTGCCGCCGCCGCTGACGGCCCGGGCCAGGCCACCGGTGAGTGCCCGCCACTCCTCCCCGAGGGAGGGCTGGGCACGCGCGCTGGGCCCACTGGCTGAGCTTGCCCCACCGAGCGCCCTGGCTACCCTAGTGCAGTCGGTCCCCGAAATGCCTTCTGGGTCTCTCTGAGCTTGCTAATGAGCCTCCCGTCGCTTGCGGAGTGCAAGTGGAGCGCGTATGCGGCTGGTGAGGCGCGCTGGACTCTGCGCTGGACTCAGTTTGGGGGACCGGCTTCTCCAGCCCCAGCTAGGGATGCTGGAGTGTGTGTGTTGATAGAGGTAGCAGAGGGAGTGGATGCCAGGGCCCCTTGCTCATCACAGGAATGAAGCAAAGCAAGTCTGGGGGAGGGGGGAGCAAAAAAGGGGCAGCCTCCGGGTGTGTGGTTCCAGTGAGCACCCCTGCAAGGTGTGTACGGTGGATGGAGAATAAAGGAAGGAGAAAATGGGGGCCCAAGTCGAGAGAGGTGCCTCAACCTGCAGGAGGAAGTCTGGGAGACTTGGGAGCCTGAAAGAAAATGCACCTGAGAGAGATTATGTGCGCAAGCATCAGGAGGCAGTCAGAATCAAAGGGGGCACCGAAACTCCGTGCTGGACATTTTCAGGGGAACAAAAGCACAAAGAGGGAGAGAAAGGAAAAGAGGGTGCAAAGAGGCAAAGGGAGGAAAGAGGGATTGCGGGGCTCCCAGCCTGTGTGTCCCGATGGTCTCATCCTTCTTCCAACCTGGTCTCTCAGGCACCTCTCAGAGTAGTGAGTAAGCTGGGCTGGAGCAGGGACCACTACAGATCTACCCTGCCCACTGGGTACCCTGCCCTCAGTAGCCAGCTGAGGGAGCCAGCCAGCTCAAGGAATAAAGGGAGGAAGGTATGATAGGCAGGTGTCCCAGGACTGGTCCCTTAGTCCATCTATACTGGTCCATCCGCCAGTTTTGCCGCACACCAGAAGCAAAAGGGTTTGGAAAGGGGAGAGGGTATCGTGGATCAGGACCTCCTCAAGCCAAATCTGGAGTTCCCTGCCCTAGAACTTGTAGCACAGTCGTTAATCTCCTCCCCCTCCCACCACCACCAAGTAAGCCATCGATTCGATAGAACTCAAGCATTCTGGCATTGCACTTCCCCTGACTTCTTAATAAGGGGACAAAGCAGGAGAGAGCATCGGTACCTCCTGTTGGGCATGTAGGATAAGACGAGGCAAGCCACTCGGATGCTTTCGTGCACAGGGCTTGGGGACAAGCCTGGGGTGGGATCTGAGCTGAGCATCTGTCGCCATAGATGCGCAGAGAGGGTCGGTCACCTCTAATACTTTTATCCCTAGACTGCCGTCAAGCGGGGCCAAAAGAGCTGGGTAAATATTTATTCATCCCATCCCCCAGCTTGTGAAAACTCTACAACCTAGCAGCCAGGGAAGCTGCTCTCCCTTCTGGAGCCAGCAGGGATGGGTGGGAAGGGGTTAGGCAGAAGCACAAGGGTGGTCTGTGTACCGGTTGATTGCATCAGATTTGGGCTGTTTCCTTGACTTCTCTGCTACTCGGATGCCTCTCACGGTTACCTACTACTGACCCATTTCATTTGCATTAGACCAGAAGCAAATTGAGGTTCAGGACGGGACACCAGCAGCCTGGTCTTCCCCGGTAGTTTTCTAGTCCGGGGGCCCTTTCTTAACTACCTTCCACGAGGTTCCTCCCATGGTCTGGGTTGGGAGTCACTCCTAGGACTGACCTTGAGGGTCTGAGATAAGCCAGGAGACTGGGTCAGCCAAGAGTCCCTTGAGTGTGTCTGAGGCTGTGGATTGGCAGCTGCCAGGCCAGAGGGTGGGTGGGGCAGAGTGAGTCAGGTCCCTCCATGGGGACAGGCCAAAGGAAGGCTGCTAGCTGAGGAAGAGGGAATGCAGAAGAAACGTAAATGCTGCTTAGGAATGTGTATCTTGGAGATGAGCCAAGCCCACAGTGGGGAGTAGGTAAGTTCTGAGGAGAGGTGGTAAGCTCCAGGGCTGAGCCCAGCTCTTGTCTGGCTTGCTGTGTGATCCCAGAGGAAGTCTTTAACCTCTCTGGACTCTGATTTGTGCTCTGGGATGTTGGGGATTTAGGATAAACTTAGAATAATGACTGTTCCTCAAACTCTCACCGGCTATGAATGAGACTAAGGATTCTCTGAGCTCTATGGCCTAGCTCATTAAATCCTAGTAGTCCCGGGAGGACTAAGAACTTGGGAAGAGATTTCCAAGTGTGGGAGGGAGTGCGGGGCCTAAGGCGGTAGAGTCTGGGAAGGAGCTGCTCTGGGTCCCGGCTGCTGCAGGGTTTACAGGAAGCCCTCTCAGCCCCTTCTCTCACTATTGACATCTGACAGATGGAGGAGCTCAACAAGACAGTGACTTATTGTCTGGGTCACCATGGAATAGAATTCAGCTTTCAGAAGCTCAGAGCTACTGGCCAGGATCTCAATGCCTCATGGGGCGGGGAGGGATGTTGAAGGGTCCATGATGGAGATGGGAACGGTTGTTTACACCCATTACCTTTCCCCCTCTCGTGGCTGCTCGACTAGTTTTATTGGGTGGCAGAGCAGAGGGGCCAAGCTGATGGGCTGGACTTTGGGGCTTTGAGGGATGACAGCACCCTGCCGTTCTTTGAGACGGTCAGTGACTCCCCATGATAGAGATGGGAAGAGGAATCTGTCTCTCTTGCTGGCTAGGTTGAACAGGCCCTGTGGCTGGTCATATAGAACCTGTTCTACATCTTCATTGTGACATTTCGGGGGTCCCGAGGTAGAGTTTCAGTGATTACCTGTGCAAATTACCTGGGAGACAACCGGTGCTTTGTAACTTTCCCCCAAAAGGAGACTTGGAATCACTTCTCCAGAGAAAAGAGGAAGAATGCCATCGGTGGTCCTGAGACATTGACAGGGTGGGAGTTAGTTGTCCCTACCCTCCCTGCATTAAAGGGGCAGGAAGTCAGAGATCGAGCAGGGTACCCCTACTAGAACTGGGGCCTCAGATGGGTGGGGTGCCTCTCAGTGGTAGAGTATAAGTGTAGTGTGCCCTGGATACAATTAACCCCACATACACCATAAAAGGAACCTTAGTTACTCAGCGCCCAAGGCCCGTGCTAAATGCTCAACATCTATCACTTTGGATTCTCATAGAAACACTTGTTGGGAGTCTCATTCCCATTTGGGAGGTAAGGAAGCCAAGAGGTGTACTGCAGGCTTCATGCTGCCCCTCCATGCTGGGGAAGCATGCCCAGAAGCTTCCTGGGTTTATGTGGAGAATGCAGTTAGGGTTTCATAAGTTCATGTCCCCCTGGTCTCAATGAGCTCCCAGCTAGACCGCCTTAGCCAGATCCACAGGAGCTGGTGACAGACAGACAGACAGACAGCCCAGGGCCCTCTAGTGGGGCAGGAGGAGGAGAAAGTGGGATGCCTTGGAACAGGGTCAGAAAAATCAGAGGTCAGAAAATCAACCTCAGGCCGATGGACCCAGCTTTGTGCCAGCATATATTTCAGCTCCTCCATTTGCCCTGCAATCCACTGGGGCTGGGCTAAGGATGCTTAACTAAAGAACTACATCTGGAACCTTAGGCCCTGGGGATCTGGAGTCTGACTTGAGTCTTGCATCGTTTTTTTTTTTTTCCTTGCCTAGGAGAGTCACCGTCACCACCCTGTGAAGAGAGGGCCTCAGCTCCTGCATGCAGCTCTGCCTAATAGCTTGACATCTGTCCCTGCCTCCCGTTGGGTCTCTAGTCCCGCTGGTAGTGCCAGACCTCTACGATGTGGTGTACCCGACCCGCCTGATGTACTGAATGCCCGGAACCGACAGAAGCGCTTCGTCCTGTCAGGAGGGCGCTGGGAGAAGACAGATCTCACTTATAGGTAGGGGCCAGAAGGCCGGGGAGCAGGACTGTATGTTATCCTTACACCTTTATCCTGAGATGCTCAAGACCGCATTCACGCTGCACACAGACCTGCATGCCCACTGACCCTCCCGTCCCCCAGCCATCCATGAACCAATAACCTGGACCCTTGATCTAGACACATATACAAATTATGTTCTCTTGTAGCCAAAAAGAGCCTCAGTTCATGCCTGGAGGAAGATTTCACACAGGCTTTAATAGAGACCTATAAAGCCCAAGCCTGGGGCCCTGTAGTGAGTAAGACAAAGCCACAGCCCTGGTAGTTTGCTCAATTCCACCATAACAACTTGGACCTTTTGTAGGTGGACACAAGTAACGGTGGACTACTTGCTGGTGATATAGGAGGCCCTTCGACAGGTGGTGACGAAGCTGAGACTTAGCCCCAGAGACAATGGTATAGGGTCACATGACATTGGAGCTGAGTTAGGGGTGCACAATTTTTGAACAAGTTCCTCACAGTGAATTGTACTGTAAGATCTTGGGACCCCCTAGCCTTGTATCCTTTCCACTCAGTGTATTTATCTAAACAGACCCAACCCCATACAAAGGTGAACCCACACATCCAGACACAGCACCCTAAACCTGAGGCCCAGGACATCCCTGGCCCCAGCCCTGAGTACACACACCCACCCCACGGGTCATACAGAGACAACATTTCTTTCTTGAGGGGAGGTAGTGAGACAGGCTTTCACATAATAGCCAAGATGGCCTCAAAGTCACAGACATCCTCCTGCCTCAGCTTCCCCAGTGCTGGGAAGAAAGGCACGAGTCACCACACTCAGCTCCCGGAGAGGGCCAACTCCTCAGTCCTCAGGGGCTTCCTTGCCCCATGCCCAGGCCCCTCCACCTCCCCCCAGGATCCTCCGGTTCCCATGGCAACTTGTAAGGGAGCAGGTACGGCAGACGGTGGCAGAGGCCCTCCAGGTATGGAGTGAGGTGACCCCACTCACTTTCACCGAGGTGCACGAGGGACACGCTGACATCATGATTGACTTTGCCAGGTGAAAACCCGTGGCCTGGGACCTTTCTGGGAGCACATCCCATTGTCAGCTGCCTCTAACTGTGTTCTTCCCCCACCCCTGCCCCCAGGTACTGGCATGGGGACAACTTGCCATTTGATGGGCCTGGGGGCATCCTGGCCCATGCCTTCTTCCCTAAGACCCACCGAGAAGGGAATGTACACTTTGACTATGACGAGACTTGGACTATTGGGGACAACCAGGGTATGTGCTACACAGACCCATCTTCCAGATGAGGCAACTAAGCAGCACTTAAAGTGGGGGTCTAGAGATTCATTAGGCTACTGGTGGCAAGCGATGGCGTTTGCTAACTCACCCCCCTCCCCCTTTCCAGGCACAGACCTACTGCAAGTGGCAGCTCATGAATTTGGCCACGTTCTGGGGCTGCAACACACCACAGCAGCTAAAGCTCTTATGTCCCCTTTCTACACCTTCCGCTACCCTCTGAGCCTTAGCCCAGATGACCGAAGGGGCATCCAGCACCTCTATGGCCGGCCCCAGCTGACTGCCACCTCCCCCGCCCCAACCTTGAGCTCCCAGGCTGGGACAGATACCAATGAGATTGCGCTGCTGGAGGTAAGAAGGAGGAGGGTGGGAAGACAGAGGTGAGACCCCACCCCTGTTCCCTCTGCAGCCCTGCTGGTCTTATGGCTCCAGAATGTGCTCTATTCTGGCTCCTCTCTCCCACCGCAGCCGGAAACCCCGCCAGATGTCTGTGAGACTTCCTTTGATGCCGTTTCCACCATCCGAGGCGAGCTCTTCTTCTTCAAGGCAGGCTTTGTGTGGAGACTGCGCAGTGGGCGACTGCAGCCAGGGTATCCTGCTCTGGCCTCTCGGCACTGGCAAGGACTGCCCAGCCCGGTGGATGCAGCTTTTGAGGATGCCCAGGGCCAGATTTGGTTCTTCCAAGGTGAGTGGCCATTAGAAGTCAGCCAGGAATAGTGACAGAGGACTCAGGGACACAGTGAGTAGGGGAGACGGTGCCCTGAGGTCTTAGAGCCAAGAGAGAGTGGGGCTCACTCCTTGGGCACAGCTGAGAGTCTCAAAGTGGCAGCTCTTGGGATCGGGAGTAGCCCTGAAGGTCTTGCACACTGCCACACTGCACTGCGGCTGCGCGCTACGGTGTGGGGCGGGGCTTAGAGAGGAAAAGGCAGAACGACTCACTTAAGGAGTGAAACTTGGAAAGAGCAGAGCAGGAAACTGATCTAGGCATAGTGACCCTGGAGCCTGTGATTTCAACTCTCGTCTGGCAGAGATGACAACCTAGAACGTTCCAGGTGGCAGGACTTCATAAACTCAGGTGAGGCATGGGGACCCTGTATATGCATTCCAAGGCAGCCAAGGGACCTGGGTTACAGGGGCTGGGACCCCGAGGTGGTCAGCAAGCATCTGCAATGAGCACCTCTCTGTCGACCAGAAGAACCTTAATTTGGGCTTACTGAACCTAAGCTTATCTTTCTTTTGAACCCAGCTCACCCCAGCTAGTTCTAACATCCCTCTGGGCTAGGGCTGCTGAGAAAGCACTATTGGCCAGCAATGTTCTGCAGACAAAAGAAACAGGCAGGGGGAGTCTCTGATGGTGGCCAAGCAGATCTACAGTGACTGGGGATGGCAGTGGTGGCTTGGCAGCTCCTGGCAGCATCTCCTTTCTGGCAGGTGCTCAGTACTGGGTATATGACGGTGACAAGCCAGTCCTAGGCCCCGCGCCACTCTCCAAGCTGGGCCTGCAGGGGTCCCCAGTCCATGCCGCTTTGGTCTGGGGTCCCGTGAAGAACAAGATCTACTTCTTCCGAGGTGGAAACTATTGGCGTTTCCACCCCAGAACCCAACGAGTGGACAATCCCGTGCCCCGACGGGCCACTGACTGGCGAGGGGTACCTTCTGAGATCGATGCTGCCTTCCAGGATGCTGAAGGTGAGTTGAGGGTAGGTAAGGTAGCTGGAGGGACATGAGTGGCTGTCATCCTGCCTCTCCCCAACCCCCGACTTCATAAGGCCCAGTTCAACATCACTGATCCTTTGTCTAGAGCTGCTATATCTCCCCTTCTGCTGGCCAGTCAGTGTTATGCCCCGTGTTAAAAAGGAAATGGAGGGGGAAAAAAAAAAAAGCTGGGCGTTGGTAAAAAAAAAAAAAAAAAAAAAAAAAAAAAAGCTGGGTGTTGGTAGCGCACGCCTTTAATCCTAGCACTTGGGAGGCAGAGGCAGGCGGATTTCTGAGTTCGAGGCCAGCCTGGTCTACAGAGTGAGTTCCAGGACAGCTAGGGCTACACAGAGAAACCCTGTCTCGAAAAACAAAAAACAAAACAAACAAACAAACAAACAAACAGAAAAAAGGAAATGGAAGGACAGAGAGGTACAGGGACTTGCCCAGGTTCCTTGGCCACACCCAGTGCTTACCAAGGGTAGACAATGCTTCAGGCAGGGTACCACACTCCTTACATATCTCAAGTAGGTCTTGGAACAGCCTTCTGATGTCACAACAGCTTTTTGTTTGAGGTATGGTTTTCCTATGTATCCCGGGCAGGCTAACCTGGGACTTGCCTCGTAGACCAAGCTGTGCTTGAACTCAGAAATCTGCCTGGGATCGAAGGCATGCACCACCATGCCTGACCATAACAGCTCTTACTAGCATAGTGTCAGGGGGGCAGACAGAGGAAGGGGCAAAGAGGTCACTAAACACCCCAGAGGAACGATGGTATTGTTCTTATGACTCCTTGCTCCCAACCACTGAAGCACTAGGCTTAGTCCTAAGTGCTGAGAACTCTCTTGCTTGCTACTCTCCTCCGCTTCTGTGTGCCGAAACACTGGGCCTCACTGGAGCACTACTCTGAGGAGCTTCAAGCTCTGTATCTCTGGTATTGCCTTCTGTGGTATGGAAGTAAGGGGGAGCTTGGGAACAGGAGTAGTATTTGCTTTCCTGAAAGGCAGGAATTGAGCTGAGGTTCCCAGTACCTACTGGACCAGACTGTAGGGACAGACAGAAAGGTTCCCTGGAAGGAAAGGAGGTGGTATGGTAGTAAGCCAGCTCTGGAGTCTGCAACTTGTTTGTTTGTTTGTTTGTTTACTTATTTTGAAGGCAGGGCCTCTTGTAGTCCAGGTTAGCTTCAAATTGAGTATGTAGCCAAGGATACCCTTGAACTCCTTACCCTCTTGCCTCTATCTTCTGAGTACAGGAAGTACAGACCGAAGCTACCATGCCTAGCTTGCCAGATTCCAAAGAGTTCACTAGTGACCAAGGCCTGCATGGTGTCTGACCCTCAGCCCAGCCCAGGCTTGTACAGAGCTTAGTATCCACTGACTGACTTCCTTCTTTCTTCAGGCTATGCCTACTTCCTTCGTGGCCATCTCTACTGGAAGTTTGACCCCGTGAAGGTGAAGGTCCTAGAAGGTTTTCCTCGCCCCATAGGTCCTGACTTCTTTGACTGTTCGGAGCCTGCCAATACTTTCCGCTGACAACGCCTTGGATGTATTCAGGGGTACTGACCTCTGTCAGAGCACTTAGATCATTCAAGAGACCTACAGCCATATTTGTGGCTCTGGGCTTCCGGCATGGGACAGGCAGGGGCTGTGTCTCCTCAGGGGAGTGGGTTGGGGTGTAGCCCCTGTTTCCAGAGAGGATCATGCTGGCCGTGATCACTGCCAACAATTGTCTCAGACTGGGCAAAGGCGTTGGCATTACTTAAAAATAAGGGAGGTCTTAGGCCGACAATATTTCAGCTACCAGTAATCCACAGTCAACCTGGCTGCCCAAGGTCTCTGTCTCTGTCCCTCAAAGTAGAATCCCCACAGGAATTCAGAAACCACAGTGTCTTCATTCGATTCCTGTAGTGAGGTTCCTGTTGGTAATGAGATGCCCAGGGTACCATGCTGCCACAGCTAAGCATCTGAGCCAGTATCTTTCCTGGTAAGTCAGCTCCGGAGAGATAGTGGACTGATATATTCTGGCAGGTGATTCAAACCAGTGTTTCCTGGAACTCAGGCCAAAAGTTACATAGCCAGCCAGGGAGGCAGCAGCTCCCTCCCAGAGGCACTGAACCTCAGAGACCCCACATACCTCACAGCCTTGCCCCAGGCCATTTCTTCCTGGGGACCCTCTTCCTAGCACAGGTACCCTCCAAAGCCATGTAAATGTGTATACAGTGTATAAAAGGTGCGACTGTCATTAAACATGAGTGTTTTCTAAGTGCCTGCCTGGTTTCTCTTTGCAACTTGAAGTCAAGATTTGGGAGTTAGGGTGAAAGCCTTCATTCCCCCCAAGACAGTTTCCCTGGGGCTAGGGTCAATGTTTAGAGTTTCTCCTGTTCCATTCCTGAACAAATAGAGGGATACCCACAATGGCTTTTTAGCTGGCTGCCTGTCTCCTCATGTGTCCCTTTAAGCCATCCTCCAAAGCAGTAGTCATTTTTATTGGATCATTCCTAACTACTTGGGGGGAGGCGTGGTCTCATTTTACATCCCTGACTGTCCTGCCTGACTATGATGACTCTGGAGTTCTGGGATTAAAAGTATGAACCACCAGCATGCCTGGCCCTTAACCCTCTGGGTACCACAGCCCTTCCTAGTTCTTTAACATCTTCATGACCCCAGTCACACCTGCACTCTCACTAGACTGACCCTCCCCCCCTTTTTTTTTAAATTAAGCATTTATTTATTTTATGTATGTGAGTACACTGTAGCTGTCTTCAGACACATCAGAAGAGGGCTTTGGATCCCATTACAGGTGGTTGTGAGCCACCATTCCACGTGGTTGCTGGGAATTGAACTCAGGACTTCTGGAAGAGCAGTCAGTGCTCTTAACCGCTAAGCCATCTCTCCAGCCCTAGACTGACTCTTAAGAAACTGTTTGTTTATCCACTTTCATAGAAGGATTTATATTTTGACCATCCCCCCAATCCCCACCTCCTCTACTTCTCCTCTCTGTCCTGTTAGTCCCTTTGCTCCCATACACGATGTCACTTTTTTTTTTTTTTTTTTTTTTTTTTTTTTTTTTTTTGAGACAGGGTTTCTCTGTGTAGCCCTGGCTGTCCTGGAACTCACTCTGTAGACCAGGCTGGCCTCGAACTCAGAAATCTGCCTGCCTCTGCCTCCCAAGTGCTGGGATTAAAGACGTGTGCCACCACCGCCCAGCTTCAATGTCACTTTTACTTTTATGTTCTGCGTAATACATATTTTATGTATTTATGTGAAATCTAGAAAGCACAAGTGAGTGAAAACATATTTGTCTTTCTGAGACTGGCTTTGTTTAGTACGATTGCTCTAGGTGCATCCATTTTCCTGAAAACAATTTAATTTCGTTTTTTGTGGATAAAAAAAAATTCTATTGTGTACACACATTTCACACTCTTTTTGTTTTACTTATTTATTTATTTTTCTGAGACAGAGTTTCTCTACATATCCCTGGCTGCCTGGAACTCACTATGTAAACCAGGCTTGCCAATAACTCACAGAAATCCTCCTGTCTCTGCCTCCCGAGTGCTAGGGCTAAAAGCCTGCGCCACCACACCCAGCCTAGCCTACATTTTATCCATTCCTCTACTGTTGAATAGCTACCTAGGCTGGGCTATAACTTAAGCTCTTGTAATAGTTCTACAAGAAACATTACTTAAAACATTTTGGAGTCACGGCTCAGTTCAACAGGGGGTGGACTGCTTGGACACTTTCCAGAAGCACTGTTTTCCCTCGGGGCTGTTAATGTCCCAAGGCGGACAGAGGTACAGAACAGGGCTGGGCTTTCGGGCAACAAGCTTGCAGATGTAAGGAAGCATGCAATTGCCTCTTCCTGTTCATCTGGCACATCACGTAGAGCTTTGACTCGTACCAACCTCCATCCAGTATTGTCATTCTTCCCATCCCGACTGCCTCGGGAACAGCTGTTGGCCTGCAGCGGATGGCTAGCTGTTCCTAGCACACTGGAGAACCCAAGGCGCTGGGGTCGCCATGCCCACCCAGCCTCCCTCGGGCTTCCAGATGGAGCGGTCCTTTTCCTCGCTTAACGTCTCATTTTTTTGCCTTCATCCCAGGGCGGAATGCCAGCTCTGGCTGTGCGACTAGGAAAGCTAGCGCCTGAGTCAGGGCCTCAATGGCTATTTCTGTCGCTGAGAAGTTTTCCTCCATACCGGCCTGGGGAGGCAGCCCAGGAAGCAAAAAGAGGTTGGGGTCCCTTTAAGGGCCTGCGGGAACGCGCTCGGCCTTGGGTCGGGCACGCGGCGGCGCGCACGTTAGCGTCAGCCCCCCGCGCATGCGCACGGAGGGCGGCCTGCTCGTCGTGGAGACGGCTAAAGAACCCAGTAGTGACGCGAGCGCCTGCCCGGTTCGCCTGGCTCGCCCTGCCTGTCCTTCACCTCCCGGCCTCCGTTCCTTTCGGTCCGACGCGTCTCGGCCCCGCCCCAGCCCACCGGATTCTTTCCAGCTCGACCCCGGTTGCCGGTTTGCCCCGCCGCCATGATGATGATGGCGTTGAGCAAGACCTTCGGGCAGAAGCCCGTCAAGTTTCAGCTGGAGGACGACGGGGAGTTCTACATGATCGGCTCCGAGGTAGCCCGCGGCGCGTTCTCGGCTTCCCGGGCAGCGGCTGGCCGGCTCGAGTCCCCGGGGCGGGCCAGTGCTCCCCCGAGTGCGCGCCTCCATTCATCGAGGAGGCGGGCGCGTGCTCGTACTTGGGGCGTGGCCTGGTGGGCGTGGCCGGGTCCTCACCCGCCTGGTCCCTCCTGGGTTTACTTACCCGCTTAACATTGTTTAGACCCTAAGCATGTGCCCTAGCTTAAAGCGTCGAGCCGGTACGCGCCAGGCAAATGGGAAAAGAATGTTCGGGAAGCCCCTGGGCGCTTGGAAGTGGAGGTGCAATACTGCCCTCGAGCCCTTTGGCAGCTCTCGTGCACCCCACTGCCACGGTCTTGATACCTCTAGTTGTAAGGCTGTGGCTTAGGAAAGCCTCCTCCCCTTTGTGTTCTTGCTTCTGCGGTGGACTGCAGAAGCATTATGAACTTTATGTTTGGAAAGTGATTGGAGAAGGATGTTTGTTTTATAGTGGATGAGACCCCGAGGCCAGAAGCACTAACATTTTGGAGATCTGTAAACTGATTCTGAGTTTTTTTATAGGGGATAAATCTGAAGGATCGCTAACCCATAACCAGAAGAGACAGCTTATGTTCAGTCAGATGGACACAGTTCCTCCATCCCATTTAAGGGCAACCCCCAACCAGTTTATGTCTCCCCTCCCCCCTTCTTTTTGAGACAAGATCTCTTCGTGTAACTCTGGCTGGCTTATAACTCCACTTTGTAGATTTGGGTGACCTTGAACTCACAGAAATCCACCTGCCTCAGGGATCAAAGCCCTTGGTGCTACCACACCCAGTTTATATGTTTTCTTTCTTTCTTACTCTTTTTTGTTTTTTTAAGATGTGGGTGGCCAGGCACTGAACACTCAGGAAGTAGAAGTTGAGGGTGAATTTGAATCCAGCTTGGCCTACGTAGCGAGATCTTTTCTCAAAGGGAAAAAAAAAGATACTCACATGTGTGAATGTCACCCAATAGACGTATAACATGTCAAGGGGTAAGTGTCCACCCTGGAGAGCTAATGCCATTTCAAACTGCCAACAATTAACCTGTTCGTGGTCCTATACTCCATTTCACTAGTGTGTTGGTTGAATGAGGTAGTGGGACCAATGTTGTCAGAAACATCAAGACTTAGGGTTTCCATCTTCACCATCTTCCATTACACAAAAAGTGTGAGCCGCCATGACTGTTCCCACCGTTACCTCTGTGCCGCTGTTGCACGGTGGCTGTGCTGGGGACGTACAGTCAGGGCCTGTCCGTCTCCCACAGCTCGGAAGGGTCCTTGTTGACCAGTAGGCATTTGCTCAAATGCAAGGGACATAAGGCAGTTGAGGACTTTAAACCGACTATGCAGAAGAACTGGTTGAAAGATGTTTACCTGAACTGACAGCTGGGGTAGTTTTGAAAGGAAAATTCTCCTCTGGTGGAACGATTGAAAGGAAGCTCCTGGTCAGGTGGGAAGAGCCTCAGGAGACTGAGTGCCAGCTTGCTCTGCTCCTGACCTTCTCCCCTTCTCCGGTCTTCCTCAGCCCTCATTTCTCACCCTGGGGACCTAGAGCCTTGTGCACGCTAAACACCTGCTCTGCACTGAGCATTCTTCTTGGCTGATCTGCTTTTCCTCATGCATCTGAGATGCTTGAACTGGAAATATGTACCTTTTGAAGTCATTGTCATTGTGTGTTTTAGGTTGTTGTTGTTGTTGTTGTTTTTTTTTTTTTTCCTCGAGACAGGGTTTCTCTGTGTAGCCCTGGCTGTCCTGGAACTCACTCTGTAGACCAGGCTGGCCTCGAACTCAGAAATCCGCCTGCCTCTGCCTCCCAAGTGCTGGGATTAAAGGCGTGCGCCACCACCACCCGGTGTGTTTTAGGTTTTAGAAAGCTAACCACAACCTCCTTTTGGCCTCTTTATTCTTGGCCTTCCCAGTTGAATAAGAATAGTTATCCTGAAACCAATAATGGACAGGTTTTCTCACTCTGGGGCCTGGCTTTGATTTTAGGAAGAGCAGAGGGTCATATAGTTCTTTCTGACTGCAGTTCCTATGGCAGCATTGTATGGATGAAGGCCCTTCATCTTAGAAAATGAATTCAGTATCAGACAGATGGACCACACAGCAACACTAGCATTGTCTCTGATGTTTGCAGTGGATATGACTGTGGCCCTGTCATCCTATCATTTGCCACAGGAGTCACAGGACTTTGAAGAAATGAATGCCCAAGTCCAGAATCTTTATTTTATATTCCAGAGAGGGCAAAGACTGATTTAGGAAAATCTAAGTGGTCCAGCCTAGTGTTCTAGGGTTTGTGGTACAGGTCCCTCAGCGTAGCCATGGGGGACTACTTTGCAGTTATACCTTTTAATCCCACCACCCAGTAGGCAGAGGCAGGCCCATCTCTGTGAGTTCAAGGACAGCCTGATCTACACAGTAAGTTCCAGGCCAACAGAGCTATATAGTAAGAATCTATCTTTTCGGAAAAGCAAATTGACAATATTGCTAACTTTTTTTCTAAAAATGAATGGAAACCATACTTTTACTTTTGGGTGATAATGACCCACAAACCAAACAGCAACAAAGAGTCTTTGCTGTTCTGCATGCAGACTGGTGTGAGCGCAACAGCTCTGGCTCATGGT